AGATAGAGAGAGAGAGAGAGAGAGAGAGAGAGGAGGGGGAGGAGGGGGAGGGGGAGAGTGCAATCACCGCCGCGGATGGCCGTGCCACAGTCCCTTCTCTGTCCTCCCCTGGACCTTGGGCACACATGCACATGAGCCTGGCGTGTGTTTTAAGCTGCTGGGTCTGACACCTTAACCAGATAGTTGGCCATGTGGGACCTAGCACCTCAAGCACTGTCTATGGTCTGGCCTAAAACAAGCCTTTTTAAACTACGGTGTGCAGGCCAGCCCTGAGAAGTGCTCCGAGGCAGGGCAGGCTGTTCTCCGCTCCAGGGAGCGTGGGGCTGGTCACCAGGGCAAGGACGGTGAGGGCAGGGGGGCTGTCTCTGAGGCTGACTCGTCTGTGACAGCTCCCGGCTGGACAGAGGCCCAGCAGTAAGACACAGCACGCTGCCCGCTGGCCGCCCGGGAGGCCGGGGGTCCCTGAAAATGGGGCGTGCTGGTGCCAGGACCCCAGACGGCAAAGCTGGGGTGCGAGGCGGTGTTGGTCCCGCAGAGGGTGCTGTCTCTGCCTCTGTCTCTCTGCCTCCTGCTCACAGAGTGAGTTCTCGAGGGAGAGCTACGGGGAGGTGGAGCCCAGAGCCTGCCCGCACACTCCCGCCCTCCTGCTCCAGTCGGGGATGGGAGGGAGCGAGGGCTGGGGGTGGGCCGTCAAATCGATTCAAAAGCCCCCCTGTGGATGGGCCACGCCCAATGGAGACATTGGAACAGACCGGGCTCCAGGCCGAGCCTCCGGGCCAGGCGCCCCTCACAGTCCATCCAGGAGGGAAGGGAAGGTGCTTACGTGGGCAGCGCTGGCGGGTCAGGAGCGGCTTCCGCGGAGACGGCAGGCGCCCGGCCGCACAGTGGAAATCAGGCACCTGCAGCCTCGTGATCGAAGTGACACCTGCAGACAGGTCCGTTTGGTTTTTCAGGTTTACGCACAGCCCCTTTGATGACGGGGACGTACAGCGTGACGCCTCCTGGAGGGCGGTTCTCACATGCAGCTAGTTTACCTGCACCCTGGCCCTGCTTCTGGCCCAGCCCCCTCCGGACTCGGCAAACAAGCAGACAACTCTCGCCTCGGGAGCTTTGCCGGAACCCTCCTTTGGGCAAGCTGGGGGACCTGGCGGCCCAGCCCAGCTCCATCTGCTCTGCCCTCCAGGCCTCCGAGCAGTGCCCTTGGTGTTGCCTGGCTCTCCCTCCCCCGTGGTGAGAGGAAGGGCCATGTGGGGCAGTGGTTACGAGCACAGGTTCGCCTCATCGCGTTCTAGCTGCGTCTCCCTAAACAGCTCCGCCAGCCCGTCTCTGCTTGGCCTGTTGAGGTCAAGTACTGGCCCCATGCCCAGGCCTGCAGGGAGGCCCCCAGAGGCCAGGCCAGCCAGGCGCCATGAGCCTCTGCCAGCTCTGGAGTGGTGCTCTCCCATGCAGGCCACGTCCGTCAGACCCCCCCACATGTTCTTCCAAGCCAGCCTTCCCTGGCCAGCTGTGGAGAGCTGACCTCCTCCGTCACCCCGGGCCCCGGCAGGCAGGGCTGAACCCACTGACCCTCGCTCTGGATGCCAGGCAGCAGCTCCCCACCCCCGCTTTAGGACGGCGATGCCAAGACCTTGAACCATGTGTCCCGGGAGCCTGGCTAGGATGCCAGCCTGCAGGGTCCTGCTGAGAATGCCCCACTGTTTAGCACGTCCCCAGGAGAACAGGCACCCACGTCACCAGGCTGGGACACGCCAGGTCCCAGGCCACATGCCCGCCTATCCGCCCTGTGTTCCCAGCAGCCCTGGAGGGCCGAGGCAGCGTCCGAGTGCGCTCCGAGCTCTCAGTGGGGATGGGGACTGCTTCGTTAAGTTTCCTTGGGAACCCTGGGCACACGTGCAGACACAGACACACGCTCACGTCCGGGCGTCGCATCAGAGGGGCAGCGTGGCCGAGGAAAGCCGACGGGGAGGGACCGTGGTGGTGACTGGGCTGTGACCTCAGGCAGGCCAGCCAGCTTCTCCGGGCGTGGGTTGGAGTAGTGGTTTCAGACTGTGCCCTGAGGAACCCGGGGTTCGGGATGGGAGTGGGAGAGTGGGCTAGGCTCTCGGCTCCCCTCCCTGACGCAGGAGAGGCTTGGCTGTTACATAAGCCTGCGCGCTCAGGTTTCGTTCGAATAAAAGAATCTGAACGTAGAAAGGGCCCGTGAGTAACTGGATTAGATGGCCTTTCAGATTCCTCTAAGGTTAGGATTCGGTGAGCTGTCGGTGCCACCGTGGCTCCTGGGGCCCTGGTGGGCCTGACGCTCTGCTCTGGCCGCGTCTCGGCCCTGGTGTGACGTGAGGCTGAGGTGGCGTCTACACACATGCGTGCTGCGGCTGCTGGAGGAGCGCGTGGCTCTCACGTCCCCTGACTCCCCCACATGCTCGGTTATTTCAGTGTTGTTCTGATGGCCCTGCTATTACCGCTCAGTTCCTGGAGTGCCATGTGTACCACAGCCTCCACCCTGCGGCCCTGAGTGACACTGTCTCCGAGGGCGCGTGCGCAGTCACGGGCTTCCAGGCCGGCAGATAGAGGGACATGGAGACAAGGCGGGTGAGCAGCCCGACGCCCACCGGGCTCAACCTGCCACTTGGCCTAACCCGATTAGAGTGGAGATGGTGGCCGACGCGAGCTCCGCGCTTCCCAACCGCACTGTGAATGTCGGGTGAAGCCAGGCTGGGCAGGGGCTGGGAGGAGAGGGCAGAGGAGAGGGCAGAGATGAGGGTGGGGCACAGAGGCAGAGCACGGGCGGCGTCGGCAGCCCTGGCGACTCGGCCCCTCAGCCAGGGCAGCACCCGCCGTTCCTCGCCGTCTACC